AAAAACTTAAAAAAAAAAAAAAAAAAAAAAAAAAAAAAAAAAAAAAAAAAAAAAACACTACAGGCGCGCAAACACTCCAAGAGCTATACAAAGGCTCTTTGGAGTTGAGAATTTACGAAAAAATAAACACACAAGCTCCTGCCAATCGTGTGGTCCAACAAAGTTTGTGACAAAAAGGCAGGAGGAAACAAAAAAAAAACTACAAAGCAACAGGCACTTTGCGACACCCTTTGTACACCAACGTGCGCGATGAGGGAAGGGCGTGAGAAAGGGTGTAAAAAAAAAAGTGGCTCTACGTGTCGCTGAGCCAAACTTTGAGAGGTATCTTGGTGAAGGCGTTGTTGAGGAAGGCCATAAAGTGCTTGGCTATACTGGCGCTCGCGGCCGGGCGCATCTCATCGATGATCTCCTTGTGGTTTTGATTGAGGAAATTATTCATCGCTTGGCCGATGACGTTGTCACCGTTCACTTTGTCGTTTATGTTGAAGCGCGCCCGCTCGAGTTTGAAGTCGATCTGCATCTTGGCGATCCTCATGTACCGCACGCCGTTGCGCCTCTCCTCCACTCCCTGGACTCGGGCGAACGCCACCACGTCACCTACAAGGAAACACGATAATCATCGTCGGTCGAGGCATATCGGGTTATCGGAGCATATCGCGTATCGTTGGTCATAAATGTAATATATATATATACAATATATAGAGTACACTCTCTTGCGCAATTGTTGTTTATATGGGTAAACGTGTATAGCGGTGCTTACCGAAGAAGGCCCAAAAGTCGCCGATGCTCTTTATGGGGAAGAGCAACACCTGCCCGACCACGGAGTACCGGCCCCGGATCTCGATGCTGGGTATGCCCAGGGTTATGTCCAGCCTGAGGTTCTTTATGTCGGACCTGACTTTGCTGATCGAGTAGTTGCCGGGCCCGAAGGCCGTTATGTTGGAGAAAACGGCGCGCACGCGCACAGCTCCCTGGCCATTTTCCATCAGCAGCTCGGGTATCACCAGCGGCTCGATCGGCGGCACGTCCAGGTCTGTGCTGGCGTCTTTCAGACCTACGCGATCATTTTTGTTTGTCATTAGTATAATGGTCATTGGGTTTTTTTTTTTTTTTTTTTTTCAATACTGACCATCCACGAGGTACGGACGGAGGTGGTTGAAGGCTATCTGGATACACTTGCTGATTTCGGGATCCTTTCGACTGCACGGTTTTATGTATTCGGCTGGAAGAAGATTAAACGTAAACATTACAATGAGCTTTGACTTTTTTTTTTTTTTTTTTTTTAATTCGACTTGTGTCAGTCTTCATGTATACAGCAGTAATTTTTTATTTTTCGTTTCTCTCCTTAGTGTTATTACATGCAATTTTTTTTTTTTTTTTTTTTTTTTTTTTTTCCCCAA